CCCCAAAACCCCAAAACCCCAAAACCCCTTATGTGAATATTCTTATTGAACATACTCTTTGGTCCCTATTAGGCTATCTAAAATAGTTTCTTTCTTAACACTGCTTTAGTTGACTGTAGCAATTTGTTATGGTATTCTTCAGCTTCGATCTTGACTTTTTCATCTACAAATATTGGCAAGAAGCTTACCTAGCAGAGAGTCCTGAGGCAACATGATCTTCAAGTACTCTTGGAGGTCCAGACAAGAACTAGGGTCATGTTGATGGTCAAGATCAGTACGAGCTATCTTATTGAACCTTGTAAAGAAGCTATATGTGAGAGAAGTTATTACGACTCAATATCCTTATCTGAAAGAATATGGCTGTAAGCTTCACGGAAGTCTTTGAATGTGAGGAACGAGTCACGGTCCTTATCAAGGTTATCAAAGATATGAATATAATCCTTCAATTGTTTAAACCGTATATTGCGAGAAGTCTTTTGCTGATTGGCATATTTGGGCATTTTATAGTTTATCACTCCTTTTTCTTCAATCTCTTGCTCCTTATTTAACCCAATCTAGCATTTTATCCATGTCTTCTTTCGTTGCACCTGGAGCAAATTTTTTTAGTGTATCTTTGAACGACACTATGTGATAATTAACATATTTGTTACCTTTCTTTGCAATCTCTGGGTCTAGCTCTTCTCCTTTGCTCAAACTTGGAAGGTTAGAGTGGCTCATTCCGTTAGAATACTTATTATTGAAATAAAGAGAGTCGAATTCCTCCTTGAGTAGTATTACATCTTTTCTCTTAATAGTCTTATCCTTTATTGTTATAATGTTTTTGCTCCTGGTCCTTTTGGGGATAAACCGTTTCGAGCCAAGATTAGTGGGCAAATTCTTCTCTTTCTCATCTTGGTGACTATATGGTGAGACTCAGACATACACTAAGCTACTGTGACGAACAGATTTTCTCTTTGGAGTCTCCTCCGTGCTTTGTTGCTCCTTTATTTTGTTTATAAGGTTTGTAGCAGGAGCTCCTTTAAGATTTGGCAGTGAAACCTCATTTTCTAACTTCTTAAGCTTGTAAAAGCCTGGATCAGCAAGATTTTCTATAGAAATAGGAATTGCATAGGATTTTGTAATCCTTTCACTCAGCTTTGGCTGTGATTGTCTGGTTCGCCTCTTCTTAATGCTTCTTTTTATCAAAGACATCCTCGAAGAATTTTTCTTGAGTTTTAAGTTTTCTAGGCTAGATCTAGTAAAATCTTTGTTCTTTGAAATTTTCTTAAGACTTTTCTCCACAATTATTTTCTTTCCTAAGTATTTATGTAGTAAAATAGGAAGATGAGAAGAGTCTCTCTTGAAGGGTAAGAATAGTGATAGCCTCTCCTCAACCTTTTCCTGAGGTTCAAACATTAGAAACATTGACATCATATTTTCATTTTGATCAATCCAGTCACCGAGGATTTTCATTGTAATTCTTTCTTCTGATGAGGATTCTGGAGTTGCAGAAATTCTAGATTTTATTCGAAACAAGTTACATTATTTTAGCTGCTCTCTCAAGGTACTCTCTAGATGGCATTTCTTGTTTGATAAACTTGCCCCAACCTTCAAGTATTCAGACGACCATCATTGCGCATTCATCCAGATCGATGCCTTGGTCTCCATCAAAGTCTGAAATTGTTTAAAAAGGCTTACCAAAAAGGTTTAATACAAGAATCTGACCTTGTTGTAATAGTTAGCATGACTCATGATAATCATGGCTGACATGAGCTCATAAAAGCATATTTTATTTATCGCTTTTCCCTTTGTTTCATCCTTGTTTTTACCCTTTTGAAGCGATGACATTAGTGGCTTCTGGATCACACTGTTCAGTGATTTTGGATCAAACTTATGAGGTGTGAAGGATGCCAGCTGCTTGAAAGTGTAATCAGAATTATTCTTGTCCAATCCAAAAATACTTCCATGACGAGAGCTCTTTATTTTAAGTGTAAGAAAATACCATAAGATCTCTGAATTGAAACTTGTTCATTAAAACCGGATATTTTGTGTGCCTGTTGATTACTTTTCTAAGATCCTTAAGAGACCAAAACCTAAGTAATGCGAAATTCTTTGACACAGGCTTATTAACGTTGATTTCGATTTCTTCTACCTCATCTTGTCTAAAGCAATCCTTAAAGCCATGTTTTTCAAGCCCTTGTTTCCCCAAATGACCATATGCATCTACTCTAGCCTACTTACATGCCATTATATGAGGGTTGACCCTTGAACATAATTTTGCCCATTTTATTAATTTTATTATTACAATAATATCTGTATTTTTTGGGGTTTTGGGGTTTTGGGGTTTTGGGGTTTTGGGG